CGAATGAGCAGCCCATTTCTACAACTACATACAGCCAAAAGCATTTGATAGAAAGAAAAATTTTGAAGAAATAAGCAAAAACAAGGCAAATAGCAACCCGAAAATGTAGAGTACTTCCGGAGAGATACAGCTGTACTGCTTTCAGACGCTGTTTCTCCTTTGTTTTCGTCATCGCCACTAATACAGTTGGCAACTTCTCCATTTCTTTTTGGTCTAGATTCGGACCGATCCTTTCACTGCATTAGTAGCCTTTTTTCCTACGATTGAGTAGTTCAAAAACCCTCTCTGTATTCGCTTACTGTGAGTGGCTGAAGCAGTCGGTAACTGTTCCTGCTGGCGGCAGATGACGGCAACAACCACCCGTTGGCAAGGTTGTCGATGGCTCGCTCTTTCGAAGGTTGCTTACTAGCAAGCGATGGTGCCAAACTGCGCAGTTACCATTTAATAATCGGAAAAGATAAAGTGAGCTCAAGCACTGAAACTTGCTGAAAGATCTGTGATGCTGGAAAAACCATGATATAAAGGGACGTCAAATCCTACCATACAAAATGAGATCCAGGACTACTTCTTACATCTATGATTAACCTGAAGTATTTGTCCACTATAGCTCTAAAGTGCTTAATTATTGATATTTCATAAAAAGTTTATCCTTGAAACACAAAAAAAGGCTCTTTTTCAGACCTCTGCACTATTGCTATTGCCAAGCACCACATGCAGCGTGGGCCCCGCACCCCTCATCGGTATTATGCAGCACACATCGTTATCCTCCTCAGGTAAGAATTAATTAAAACAATTTTCCTGCAGCTACAAATTCTGGAGTTCCCGCAGTCTTGACTTAAATTGGCTGAAAAGCAAATGTGAATTAAAATCGCCGAATTTCCCCCATAAACTATATGCTTAAGGGTTGCACTTGTAATTTAGCGTCAAGCTTTAACCAGTTATTCGTAGCGATCATTTCAGCATGGATTTTTTTGGAATTGGAGACCTGGACAGTAGAAGCTAGTCAAAGCATCCATGCATTAAATAATGATGACAAAGTTTCAGGTGTCATACAACCAACCGTATTCTACAAACGTATCACCTCCGATGTCACCAAATTTATTCGGCGAATTTTTTGTAACTGACAATTCTCCGCCACTGCCGCCACCATTCAGTTTTAAGAAAAAAGTAGATTTTGGTTTATATTTTTTGAAAAATTTTTTGGCAAGAACTATGTTTTCCCAGGCTTAAAAATTCTCATAGTTAAAGATCAACCCCTTGCACCCCCTCTCCTCTTCCCCCGCCCTTTCCTCCCACATATTTGTTTTCTACGAGCGGCGGAGGTAAGCGGAAATAGCTCTAACAAACACCAATAGCATTCATCCACTGGCATGGTTGTCGATGGCTCTATTTCGATAGTTGTTTGGGCGCAAGCTGACGGCAGCCTCGATCCCGTAGAATACGGTAACGCCAATTTACCATCGAATTTAGTGAATGAATCGTTGAGAGACTGATTATTCCATCGGCGGAGACAAATCCCCCAAGCCACCCTCAACAATAGTGCTGTTTTCTACTTCGCGATGTCCGATAGCAAAGGATTTGCATAACAATTTGTAGTTTTCGTTCGCTTGCAATGAAAATCACGGGTTTTGGATTAAAGAAAATCTTATAATTTTTGAACCACAAACAGAGAGTCACCGTGCCATTTTGTTTAAGCCGATCAACAGTCATGCGAATTCTATTTGCTCCAATTGTGGTACCAGGGAAACAACTCTTTGGCGACGCAGCACGACTGGCGCTGTCGAGTGCAAGTTCGTTTTCCACGATTCTTTTCTTCAGTCAAGTTCGAAGCTTAGGTTGGCCTTGTTTTGCATATGAAAAATTCCGAAATCAGTGAGGGTTCCTGTGCTTAAAAAGTTCATGTTTGCAGAATTCAGTAAGAAATCCTTGCCGTTTTTGTAAAAAAAATTACATGTTTGTTTTCAGCTCATGTAATTTGCCAAAACTTCAAAAGTCAGAATCTCCTGCTTGGTCACATTCTGTGAAAAACGGATAAAAATACGCGCAAAAATTCAAGGAAATCGTTTTTCTTGCAAAAAAATTCACATCTTTTAATTTTCAGCGCATGCAATTTGTACTATCGAAAAAACAGTCGCCGCCGACCTACGACAATGTCTAATAAAATCCGAAAACGTATCCGCGCACCGCGCCTTGACGAGCTGTAATTTTTACCCGCATTTTTTGTATGTGCAAAAATGAATTATTGCAAGATTGTATGTGTGTGTATATGTTTGTTTGTGTGTGTATATTTATGTGCGTTTATTGTGTTTGTGGGCTTATATGTATATGTTTTTTATATGTTTGTGGACCGGGCACGCATACCACAAAAATTTCCTCTCGCTTATAGATGGAGCACCATGACCTATAGTGTAATGGTTAACATGTCAGGATTCGAAAAATTCGGAAGAGGTGAATAAGCTCGATTCTCCCTTTATTTCACCTAGTAAAGTCATCGATGCAGATGGCAAAATAAGTTATTTGCTTTAACCAATTCTGCATCACATGATGATCAACCTGCAAGTGTTCGTTTCGGCTCCTGGAATGATTACCAATTTTACATTTCTTCTAGCAGCAACGTTTGAAAGACTTTAACCGTTTCGAAGTAGCAGAGATGTGAATACCTCGCGCTGAACTTTGTTATTCCTAGACCAGGGACGAGATACCTCGGTCTATATCATTGAAAAGCTGGCGCCGTTCGTGATAGATGAGATTTACAGCGTAAACATTAGAATCTAACTTCGACCATTCGAGCCAATTATAAACGACAAAGTGGTGCATAACGAACTGCTAAAGTATTGAGAGTATGACAGTTCATAACAGGTTTTCTGATGATTGTGCGTTCCATAGTTTCCAAAAAACGTATCCCACGAATCGTTTGCTTTTCGTCCGCTTTCTTCTTGCTTTTCTTTACATATGTATAAATATGTATATAAGTGTTTTGTATGTATATCTGTGTGCGCGTCCGGTTTTGTTGACAAATTTGTTTAATGTTCAGAATAACTAGTTTGAGTTATTTCGATTTATTTTTATCTTATTGTGAATGAATGTGTGAATTTTTTGACCAATAAGCAAATTTGAATTTAATCCTTAAATAAGGTAATATTTCTCCAAGATAACAGTTTGAAAATTTTTTATCATTAGGGTTGCCATC